CAGCTGTCGGAGAGTAGCGGCGCCAGAAATCACGCCAGCGTCCACTCAACCGCAAAGGAATTGTTGTTGTCACCCTCATAAAAAAATAACTGAAAGTGTATTTTAAAAACAATTATGGCACATACTCACATTGACATACTGTTAAGAAAAAAATACTGTTTGGACTTTTGTAATGATTTAGGGTTTTGTTTATTTCAGTTTTTTTTAGGTTTATCTTTAGATTTCTGTTAATTCTGCCCATTATATTAGTAAAATTATTCTGGTTTCTGTCATGTTAGTTCTTCTAGGTTTATTTTACCACCGGTAAGTCTTGTTTAGTGTTTCCTTTCTGTCTGACTGAGTGTTTAGGATCCATAGCCTGTTTCCAGAGTATATGCATGATCCCTGATAAGATTGTTTGCTTGATGGTTTTGACTTTGGACATGTTTTTGACTCAGCTTCAAGTTTTTTGCTCGGGATGTGTTTTTGCTTTCTAATATACCTGTTTTTGACCTTAGACTGTTTTGGGTTTTTCAAATTTTTAATTTGCCCTTTTCTTCCAGTCTACTTTTCATGCTCTGGTTTTCTACCAACATTTAATAAATAACCTCCATAACTTTAAGATTCTGTTTGTGTGGTTTGAATTCTGGGTCCACATTTTTGCAGTCCATTACATCTTTATAATTACAGGGTTACGTCAGTTCAGCTGTCCTTTACCCACTGTATAGACTACGGACATATCAATAATTGAAATAGAAAAATAAAGTAATTAACAGGAGACATGATTTTTTTCAGGAGTGCTGTCCTTCAATATGGAATGTGGGACCAAATCCGAGTAGACCATGGAAAAGAGTTCTACTTGACCCTTTTCATGCAGGAGAAATTAGCAAGATACAGGACTAACACGGAGAGACAGCCGTATCTGCAAACCTCATCAAAACAGGCGAGTTGCCCTTTTGTCCTTTAAGCAATGTGTATGCTGATATAGACTACTTTAAAATTTTCAAATCCTTTTCTTTGAACACATGTTTACACCTTAAAACTGGCATAAATGGGGCTTGCCATCCTTGGTTGTGATTGGAAACAGCCAGATTGTCTTTTAAAGTGCCCCGCTTTTTCCTTTATCCCTTTTAATACATATTTTGTCTTCTTGATTAACTTAAAGTTATGAATTTGTCTCGCAGAAGCATGGCTTCATGCTCAGGCACAACCACTTATCTAAAGTAGTTTGGGCTCCATACCTTTTTGTAAGAATGCAAAAATACATATAATATCTCTCTACAAAACTCTCTTGATATTTGTTTTTATTTCTGATTTCTGATTAGGAAATGGTAATAGCTGAGGAAAATAATTGCAAGAATTAAAGTAAATGTAGAGGCTAAGCCAAAGCTTTAAGCCCCTGAGGTGGTACACAAGGGTAAAGTTGACACGCCGATTACTTAGCCGCTTAATTAAAATGAGAGCCGTCCTTGATGTTAGTGCAGGTAATCCATTTATTTCCATGACTCGGTAATTTTGACAATAACACCGCATACATTGTTTCTGCGATCCACATAGCTTTCACTTCTGTATCGGTAGTATTGCGTTGCGTTTGCGTTGGGGTCAAAAACTGTTTCCCCCTTTCGGGTGGAACACACCTGTCTTCATCAACACCGGATCATACTTATATANCAGACAGGAGTCCTGACAATGAATGTCTGAGTAATCCTTAGGAATTCTGCTTTCTGATGCCCGAGTCCCTCATATATGACTTTTAAAATTAGCTTCCAATGTAAAATTTCAACTAGTTTGTAAATATCCTAGATTTCCTGGTAAATTACCTTTTAATCTTTTTGATTTGGCTATGCATTTAGGCTCTAAAACTTGAACTGGAATTTAATCAAGGTCAAGATACCTGTGTTATCGACCAGAGATAAGATACTGACTGCTCGTTATCTCTAAAAACGAATCTACTTAAAGCACCGGAGCGATCTCTTTAAGTTAACTGCAATCATAAGCGAGAGGGAAATGGCAGCAGCATTCATGCGATGCCTTTCTATTCTTGTTGACCACTTAGTGCTTTACAACACAAACCACAATAACCCACTGGCACTCATAGATGCACAGCTTTTCACTCAATACACACTGTGAAGCATTTAAAGAGCTCAGTGATTGCAGTAGAGACGCTAAATTGTCAGAAAATATTCACACTCTAATCTTTGTTTCCTTCCAGTTGTATAAAACGACAGGAGACAGAAATGTTGCCTTTTCTTTAGCATTATTCTGGGATCATTTTTTTTTTTTTCATTAACCAACTGGAATAATACTAATAAAGGAGAAAGTCGAACGACTCTGCATCACGTTAGAACCTTCAGTTTGTTTCAGGGACATTTCTATCTGCATATTTTTCTACTGTTGTTTTTTTTTTTTCTAAGCCTGGACTGTCTGCAAAACTCCATCATGGTTCCAATATCTGTAAAGTATTGTTTCTACCTTCTATATCGTCTCTTATTCTTATTTCTGTTACCATATTTGAGTTTTGTGTGAATCTGCACACTTCAGCTTTGCTGTTTTCTCCAACAGTCAACAATCAGGGTTATTTCTACATCATCATAAAAACTGTCCCAAAGTTTCCTTTGATGTCTAAATGTGGTCTAAAAATCCTTCTTTGTGGATTAAAAGAGGCAGGAAAAGCCTGACTGTGCTTGGATTACACTTTATTGCCTCTTTTCAAGCACAATACGGGCACTGACATGCTGCTAGTCAAATAAAAGGAAATCTATCCATGTCCAGTGTTTGAAGAAATCCCCAACTTAGGAAGCTTTGTAAAGACTTTTTATGAAAGAAAATAGTAGAAAAGATCACATTCTGGTTAAAAACCCTCATTTAGTGGTGAATTCATTGGTTCAAATTGGTTTTTACTCCATCAGGTCCAGGATTGTTTCTGAAGCTTGTAGACGAGAACATTGTAGGACCAAGCCTGAAGAGATGCAACAATATCTAATGTGCCGTTACTATTTAATACCCTGTGCAATAACCTGTTTTTTATATTTGATACAATATATATATATATATATATATATATATATATAATATATATATAAGTGAAGATCCATCTGACAGGCCAAATGTTTTATTGAAATGCAGAATTTGAATGCATTGAAACCTAAACATTAAGGTTGCATCAGTTCAGGCCTTTGCCATCACATCAGACTGCTTTGAGTCAAAGTTTTAAATCCAATATATTTTGCAGCTTTAGCCTCTGGACATCCTCCTCACAGCCCTCTGCAGATTCTCTATTAAATGCAGGATAACTGAGTTTCCATGATCATGGGGAAAAGTCCTGGTTTCTGCTTAAAACTTCCTTTGACAGACTTTATATTTGAACAAAGCACTATTTTCATTTCTAATTAATTTTATAGCATCTTTTTATATGTTTTTTTGTTTTGTTTTATTCATGACTGCTGTTTTTGTCTGTGATTGTTTCTGAAACCAAGCAAAGAGGATTAATATACATAAGGAACAAAAGCAGCGACCCCTGCGGAAGACCGCAGGTCAGCAGCTGGGAATCTGTGCCGTTGATGTGGACATACTGGGATCTGTTCTTCAGATCAGTCCAGAGGAAAGGAAAGGTCACGCCTCTAAGAAGCTTTTGGAGAAGCAATTTATGATTCACTGAATCAAAAGATTTGGTGAGATCTAAAAACACACCGACAGCATGTTGTTTATTATTTATGGCATTTGATATTTATACTAGAAGGGCCACTAGTGCTAAGGTAGTGATGCTATCAGGGCTAAAACCATACTGAGGTTCACAAAGAATATTTTCTTTTCTAAATAGCTGAATAATTGTTTACGAAATATCTTCTCCATCTATAAAGAGTCATCAACATAAGTTTTAAAGTAAAACATTAGTGGAAGCTCCTGCTTGCTCTATCGTTTAAAACATGAGATAAAAACTGTAAATGCTCAAGTTTATGTGATGCGGTTCTAATTATGACTACGGTATATTGTAATTTTCTGAGAACCTACATTTTGTTTTAATTAGCTGTAAGAAAATCATGACGAGGAGAATTAAACAGTATTTAATATGTTTCCATCTATCTCAACAAAAATATAAGATTTTCATGTTCTGAAATACATTCTATGTACGGATCTTTCATTAATTGTTGCAGCTGATGTTTTGATGTCTACTTTAACTTAGATTAACAATCCTTCTGTTTAAAGATTATCAGCTCAGGTTAAGTGATGAGAAAGAAAACCAAAAAAAAAAGATCAACTTTATTCTAATGAGTGTTTTTATTCTGTTTTGACCAACAATTGAGCTCCATGACAGCAAAAAAAATGGGTGTGTCCATGAAAAAAAGGAGTCCACAAGAGTTTTAGCCATGGATTCAACTTTCCTCGGCTTACACCACCTGTACGCTCTGTCACCTAGCAACCGTGACACACAGAGCAGGAAAAGAATGGATCCTAAACTTTCCCCTACTCTCCTAGGAGCCGATAACTTTTCTGAAGAGCTTCAGCAGCAGTACGGTCGTCATAGATATCAGATTTATAGTCCCAACCCTGCAGACATGTTGGAATCTGAGCTTAAATATCAGCCAAACACATTTTATACAGGGACAGATAAAACATTTCAATAAACCAAACATTACCGCCACATTATCAGACTCAATAACCATTAAAACAAGATGTTTTAATAGTTATTGAATTCATCCCAGATTAAACTATTCACACACTTGGATTATATTAAACTGCACTTCCAAGATTCACCGTTTGGAACCATTTGCCTTTTTCCTCTGAGCACGGAGCACCCGGCTTGCTTAGACTCGCAATGAGGCTACAGCGTCCTTCAAAACGGGCAAAAAGAAGGATGCATTTGTTCGCCGCATAACGAGGAGTCTTTCAATCTGACAGACCGCGGCGCCGCGCAATGACGCCATCGACCGACGGCCTTCAGGGGACACAGACGCTGAATTCCAACTCAGCAAATATGTCTTCAGCTACATGTGTAATACTAGTTGGTGGGAGAAATTTTTTTATTTCAATCGTTGAATTTATTAACATGAAGAACAAAAACGCGTCTTTTCCAGTGTCTCCGCCCTGCAGGGTGCAGTAGCGTCCAGGTTACCTACTGTAGGAAATAAAACCTGAAAATAAAGACAAAAACACAAAAGGCAAGAAGTTTCTTTCTACTGTGGCGACGTGACATCAGAGCAACAATGAAAGGATGTTTAAACACAACTAACGTCCAAAGGAAAAAAGGGAATTTTTTATTTTTTTTTAATCCTGTGGGTTCAGACGGCATAAAAAGTACAAAACGAAAAAAAAACAAAGAAGCACCAAAAAAAAAGAAAATTCATGATCTGTTCAAAGTTAGGAAGTACATCAGTATACAGGTGAGAAACTAAAACTAAAAGCAGGTGTGATGTCTGCAGCGTCCCTTAGAGCCGTTTACCACCACCATTCATGATGAACGTCCCTTCCTGTGTCTCATTTACAGGTCCAGTCCGCCGGAGCCGCTCCGGTTCAGGAATCCCGCTCCGGTTCAGGAACCCCGCTCCGGTTCAGGAATCCCGCTCCAGCTGCTCCAGCTCTTCCCGTAGAGCCTCGGCCCGACCCAGCTTTTCCAGCTGATCCTTGGTCGGCTGCTTTATTTCCCCAGAGTCCACCTTCTGCTGCAGCTCCTCCACCTGCCGCAGCTTCTTTCTCAGGTTCTTTATCTTCTTGGCCTTTTCAGCCTCCGCTGCCGGCGACTCATCGGTCGCCGAGGCCGCCGCGGCGCTCTGTGTTTTACTCGCCGACTCTTCCCTCTCTGAGATGGACACGTTCTCAACGGCGCCGCTCACCAAATCCACTTCTGCGTCGCCGTCCAGCTCCTGGTTCTGCTGCTGTTTCCGTTTCTCCTTCCGCTTCATGTTGCGCTTGGCCGACTTTGACAGGCCGGCCGTCTCGCTGTCGCCGCAGCCCGGGATCTTTTGCTGCTGCTTCGGTGGAGCCGCTTCCGACGGGTTCAGGCCGGGGGGCAGGTCAGGTTTGCTCTTAAAAAACTTCACATATTTGTTTTCATACCTGAAACAAAAAACAAAAAAAAAAGTAGGTGAAAAACGTACTGTCCACTAAAACCTCTGAAGCAAAAATGATTCAACTGATTCAGTCCAAATCTGCTGCAGTCATTGTTAGGATGTAGTTCTATAGATCCTGAGGCTTCATCCAGAGTTTAAAGGGCTTCTAATGATGTTTTGTTGAGTTTATTTATGAAAGAATTTTGGCGCGGCTTGAAATAGATGATTTTTCTTTCTGATCACGTATTATATATTAAATTATGACTTTAATAACTTTGTATCAAATATATTATTTTTACATTTCCACTTTATAACTTTAGAACTACACTTGATTTAATCAAATATGTCATTTCAGACAGATATTGCTCTTAAAATCCTTTGGCCTTAAAGGGTTAATGATCCAAAACGTAACAGAGAAAACTGAACATACTAAAAGATTAAAGCCCTATTAGAATATTAAACTATCTACGCTGCATGTGGGGATAATAAGTTCCACTTTGTTTTGC